CCCTCCCGAGAGCACAGCGCCCCCTAGTGCCCCACTGGAGCCAGCACTGACTGCTGGGGAGAGCGCCCCCTATTGAGAGCACAGGGCTCCCAGCAGCACACCGGGGCATTGGGGCAGCACTGACTGTGAGGAGAGTGTGTCCCCCCCGATCTAACACGTACCTTAGACAGAGCTGGGGTGTGCTCCACCTATTTCTGCCCTGCACCCTAGATTCTGAGGGCCTGGCTCTGCCGGGGTGGGTGCGGGAGCAGGGCCCGACCCGCTAACTCACCATGGCTCCCCTTTCATCTTCCAGGGTGGCTGAAGATGCTGAAGGAGGATTATAGCCCTGGGGGTGAGTGCTTGGGGAGAGGGCGCCCTGTGGCAGGTCTGTGTGGGGTGCGGAGCCTCAGGGCGCCTGGGGGCCAGGGCCAGGAGGGCGAGGAGGAGCAGGAGCCCCGGCGCAGCTCTCCAGGCTGGGGTGCTGCAGCTGGGAACGCAGGCCCTCACACCTGGGCCTGGGGTGGGGGCAGGGCCCCACGACCCTGCGCCCAGGGCTCTGTCCCTGCCAGGCAGAGCTGCCAGAGCATGGGGCCAGGCAGGGGGTGGCGACTGGGCTGCTGGGCCGTACGCAGCCTGTCTAGCCCTAACAGCCCTCTCTGTCCCTGCAGGCGTGCTGCGGGGCCGGTGCGCCCTGATCCTCTACTCGCCCGACCACGCCGGCTTTGAGCGGCTGGTGAGCACCCTGGCCTGCGCCCTGACACGGCTGCAGCTGGCCGTGTCAGTGGAGCTGTGGAGCCGGGCCGAGCTCTGTGCCATCGGCCCCATGCAGTGGTTCCATGCCCAGCGGCTGCGGGTCCTACAGGAGGGCGGTACAGTGGTCCTGCTGTTCTCCAGGGGCGCCGTGGCCAGGTGCACGGAGTGGCTGCTCTGGAAGCCGGGGGAACTGCTGCCCCGGGATGATCCGTGCAGCGCCTTCTCAGCCTCCCTCAACTGCATCCTCCCCGATTTCCTGGCTGGCAAGGCTGGGGGCCGGTACCTGGTTGCCTGCTTTGAGGATCTCCTCCAGCCGTCCGACATCCCGGAGCTCTTCCGCTCCGTGCCCATCTTCACACTGCCCTCCCAGCTGCCCACCTTCCTCCTGGCGCTGGCTGGCACTGCTGCTGGCAGGGAGCAGAAGAGCAGCCTGAAGAAGCACTCCCTGTGGATCAGCAACAGCCTGCACCGCGCCATCCAAGAGTGCCAACTGCAGGAGCCCAATGGGCACTGCCCACCACAGGCGTCTGCCCTGCCTGGGAGCGGGCAGGTACTGATGGGTGCAAAGAGTGAGGCTGGGGAGCTCTCTCCACCCATGGGCTCCACGTGACTGAGACTCTGTCCACTGAGAATCTGGGCACGGTCGGCAGACAGGATACTGGGCTAGATGGACCTTTGGCCGGACCCAGTGGGGCCATTCTTATGTTCTCCTGCCAAGCCAGAGTGTGTCTGCCACTGTCTCTGCACCAGCTGGGCTGGGCACGGAGGGCAAGGTTCCACTGGCACCTGGCTGGAGCATATGCCGGCAGGGCCTGGCCCCTGCCCTGTGGCGGGCTCTGCGGGACACTGCCCCACACTCCCAATAAAGGCCTGTTATTTTTCTAATGGTGCTTGGGCGTTTCCTGGGCTCCGGGCTAGAAGCAAGTAGATGGGTCCCGGCCATGAGTGGGGCCGGGCTGTGCCAGGCCAGGCGGGGGCCCGGCTGTGACACCGGTGCCTGTGGGAGCCAGCTGAGGTCACTCAATCAGGGTGAACTGCAAACAGAACGGGGCAGACAAACCCTAAACGCTGATGGATATTCCAATACTTAGAGTTACCAACCAGCCCCAAACAGCCTCTGTGTTACCTCCCTGGTTACTCAGAAGTCCAAACAACGCAGTTCCCTTAAAGTGCCCAGCCTCAGGCCTCCATCCAGACACACACGTCAAACATATGATGGTAAATTCTGAAAATCTCATCATATAAAAAGAAAAGGTTCTCCCAGTCCCAAAGGATCAGCCACACACCCAGGTCAAATGATAACTTACCCAAAATACACGCTATAGCCAATTCTTATTAACTAAACTAAAATTGATTAAAAAAGAAGAGAGAGAGAGAGAGAGTTGGTTGAAAGAGCAATCTACAGACAGACTTGAGTTCAATTACTGAGGTCCAGATCCATAGCAGAGATGGTGAGTTTGTAGTTGCCAAAAGTTCTTTTAGAAATAGTGATAGAATCTTAGAAGATCAGGGTTGGAAGGGATCTAAGGAGGTATCTAGTCCAATCTCCTGCTCAAAGCAGGACCAACCCCAACTAAATCATCCCAGCCAGGGCTTTGTCAAGCCTGACCTTAAAAACCTCTAAGGAAGGAGATTCCACCACCTCCCTAGGTAACCCATTCCAGTGCTTCACCACCCTCCGAGTGAAATAGTATTTCCTAATATCCAACCTAGACATCCCTGCACTGCAACTTGAATATATTCCATAGGTTATAGTCCAGGGGTAGGCAACCTATGGCACGCGTGCCAAAGGCGGCACACGAGCTGATTTTCAGTGGCACTCACACTGCCTGGGTCCTGGCCACCGGTCCGGGGGGCTCTGCATTTTAATTTAATTTTAAATGAAGCTTCTTAAACATTTTAAAATCCTTATTTACTTTACATACAACAATAGTTTAGTTATATATTATAGACTTCTAGAAAGAGACCTTCTAAAAATGTTAAAATGTATGACTGGCACGTGAAACCTTAAATTAGAGTGAATAAATGAAGACTTGGCACAGCACTTCTGAAAGGTTGAATAAATGAAGACAGGCACAGACCCCTGTTCTAGCCAGTCAGTTGAGTTTCTTGCAGAAAGATAGTGAGCATTTGCTGGTCTTGTTCGGAACCAGTGTTCAACTTCAGGATGAACAAGTGACAATGCACTTAACATTGGCCTCCAGTTTGTAGTGTGTGGTATTTCTTGCTTAAATAGAAAGTATGATGCCTCACCCATATTTGTTCGCATGTCTCTTGAGGTTCCACCCAGCTCTCAGTGATTTCAGCTGAGCTCTCAGTGGGGGAATCTCGCTGCTAGTGCAGACTGGGCCGTCTCTTCCACTTAGACCGGATTATCAGTGATTTCAGCTGCAGCGGTCACTTAACAAAACAAAAGACTATGGAGCCTAATCAGCTCTGTCT